TAGTTTGACCAGCTTATAAGCTTAGACAAACACCCTCATAGTGCATGGAACAGTTTGCTTAACAATAAAAAATAATAGAAAAGATACCAATAAGATATGGTATATTATTAGTATTAGGTGATTAAATGCCAAAGTTTGGAACAAAAGTGGTTTAAGCCTCACTTTCCCCAACCAAACCACAAAATTTTTCAACAAATTAATTATAAACTAAGGGATACTTGCCTTTACCAACTGCTAATTGAGAAATTATCCCTCCATTAAGCCCACCTTCGCTTTGATTTTGATAATAATGTATATTTTAATACCATTCTACTCTGGCGTTTGTATATTAATTGTAGTACTACGATATTCACAAACATTTCTCACTAATTTTTTCTCATAAATGTGACGTGTTAACTCATAATTAGTCAACTTGCAATAGGTTCCGTCAACTCAATAATGGGTCCCGCTCGACCAAATACAAACTGACCAATTGTGAGAGAATATTGTGAAAAATATTTATCAACCTATTTTTATTCTAGTAACGATTTGTGTTATATATACTCCCCATAAAATATATATAAATAATTAAAATAAAAAATAAAAAAGTGAAGTAAAACAAAAGAAAAGTGGACGGCCTGATCACTGCTTCCTTTAGAGCGCGTGGAAGCACGCATCACTTGATTACGATTTACGTCCAGAGTGCTGAAAAATCAATTCAGTCTGGATCCGGACCCAGTTAAGTAAAATCATCGGACTCCTCTTGTGTAATAATCTCAGAATCACCCTGGTTGTTTGTAAATATATTAAAGTGACCCCTACAAAGAGGGGATGAAATTGTTATTATATTCGAAGACAAGTTAATCCTCCAATTGCTCTTGGCATGTATTCTATTCTATGAGAATCAACTACGAAATGCCTCAAGTTAATTAACTTTCCCATCTCTTGAGATAATTTTGTTAAATTATTACATGCGGCCATTTTTAACCTGTAGATTATATAAATCACACAATTCATTTGGCAATTCTTTTAAATTGCTATTATAATATAAATCAAAATACCTCAAATGTATCATTTTTTTTTTTTTTTTTTTTGCTAGGGATTTCTTTAATATCCTTACTTTCCCATCTCTTGAGATAATTTTGTTAGATTATTACATGCGGCCATTTTTAACCTTTGTAGATTATATAAATCACACAATTCTTTTGACAATTCTTTTAAATTCCTATTATAATATAAATCAAAATACCTCAAATGTATCATCTTTTTTTATTTTTCTAGGGATTTCTTTAATATCCTTAATCGACCCATCCTTACTTTTATCATAGTCACCAAACTGTAATGCTCGTAGACATAAGTTATCAAATAATTTGGATAGAGTCAGTTGGTTCCAATCAGTTTGATATTTAAGCACAAGACTACACAATTTATTTTCATCAACAACATCTTTAGGAAATAAGTCTAGTTTTTTAAGCATCATCATTGAGTGTCGAGCATTTTTTATGTAAGATTTTAACTAAGATGTAATTATTAGTCTTGACACTAAAACATTCAAAGATTTTAACTAAGATGTAATTATTAGTCTTGACACTAAAACATTCATTTTTGGTAAAAATTTTGGGCAAAATCATGTACTATATTATGCATCTTATAGCTTTCTATCCTACCATCATATTTATTTTTCTTAAAGTCTTGAAAAAAAGAGGGCATTGCTAAGTTTTCAAAGTACTCTTTCCCAACTACTTCCATATCTTTGTTTCGTGCTTCCTTAAGATAACTTTGCACCATCCATAACATAATTAATTTATCTTTATCTATCTCATAATCTTTCAAAAAAATAGCACAATATGAGAAACATTTTTTCAATGCAGAAGGCAAATCATAATAGCTCAATAGTAAAGATGGAAAAATCCCTCTCCCTGCCTCTTCTATTTCCCACATTTCACTATCTAGAACACTTTGCCACTCTCCAATATTTGTTTTGAAACACAAGAGGCTTCCTAAGGTTTTTATAGCAAGAGGTAACCCCTTGCATTTGTCTACAATTTTTCTACCCATATCTTCTAATTTTTCACTGGATTCATTTGAAAATGCAATTTGCCTAAATAACAACCAAGACTCATTTTCTGATAATGTCTCTAACATGATCATGTTAGTGGCTCCTATAATTTTGGCAACATTTTGCTTACGTGTGGTAAATAGAATTCTACTTCCTTGAGAACCACATTTCAAAGCAATCATCAATTGCTCCCAATCTTTGGAATCCTCAGTCCATACATCATCTAGGACGAGAAAAAACTTCTTTCTTCATAGAGAATGATTTATCTTTCGCAAAATATTTTCTAATTCAACCAATGCCCTTTCTAAAGGATCCCCAAGAGATTCGAGGATCGCTTTTGCAACCCTTGTCTCATCAAAAGGTTCCAAGACACATACTCATATCCTTTCATCAAAATGAGCTTTTACTTTGTCATCATTAAAAGCTAATCGAGTAAGAGTAGTCTTACATATTCCTCCCATCCCTACAATAGAAATGATAGAGATGACTGGTTCATGACTATCTCATTCAACTTGTTTAATAATTCATCCTTATTATTATCTCTTCCATGAACCATTTGCACATCAATAAGCGATGTAGTCATTTGTCGTCTTATTTCTACAGCACGCTCTGTCAAATTGAAACGAAACATATTTTTTTTCCATAGCAATAACATCTAGCGTTTTATTCAAATCTTCTATATTGAGAGCAATATCACGACGCATGACAATTTGTTCAAAACAAAAACAAAGGATGAGGGAACATACCTTTTTGATCATAGGATTGGAAGCATTTTCAACTTCCTTGAGTTGTAATTTCCCAATAGAAGTGTTCCACTCATCCAACACATCATCTATATCATAAGATGTCTCTTTAAGCTTATCCAACCAATCCCTTACAGCACTATCCTTGAATTGTCTGCTCTCTGCATCTTCAAGCACAGCCTGAATGGACCGAAAATTTTTGGTGAGCTTTTGGACGTCTTCATCAACACCGGCCACCAGCATCAGCTGTTGGTCAATTTGTTGATGAGCGATTGAAGCCAACTGCTCCAAGACCATACTAAAAGATGGTATATGATTGAAGAAAGATGAGAAATTGATATTTGGTGTTGCGTGTAGTCATGCAACGGTACATTCAATAAATATAGTGCATGGAACAGTGAAAGCAATTGTTTGCTTGAAAATTAAAAAAATAATTGAAAATATACCAATAAGATATGGTATATTGTTAGTGTTACTGTGTTAGGTGATTAAATCAAAGTTTGGAAGAAAAGTGGCACCTCACTTCCCCCAACCAAACCACATAATTTTTTAACAAATTAATTATAAACTGAGGGACACTTGACCAAACCAACTGTTATTTAAGAAATTATCCGCCCATTAAGCCCACCTTTGCTTTGATTTTGATACTAATACATATTTTAATACCATTCTATTCCGGTGTACATCAGTTGGCTACGGCAGAGCAACGTTTTGCTTGGATTAGGGATGTAAAATAAAACGTACATGTAGCTGGCCATTGAACGATTATTGCACAGCTGCAGGCAGCATTGAATGTGAAATGGCTTTAAAAATTATATTCGCCATCGGTGTTTTCTTGCACCATTAATAAACACCACAATGTTAAAGACTTCAAGCAGCCACCACTATCAGCAGCAAATCAGCAATACACTCCATAAAATATATAAAAATTAACATAAAAAATAAAGAGTGTATTAATAATAAAATAAACTGTCTTATCGCAATCACCGTTAACATCTTTATCATGTTAAACGGTGATTTGGTACACCTATCCAATTATCGAAATAAAATTTTAAATTATATTTTTCTCTTTTTTAAATCATTCTTTGACCACATATTTTAGATTTTTGTTTTCCATCCGGAGCCCTTCTTTTTTTTTTTTTTTTTTTTTTTTTTTTATATCCTTAGATGAAAAAATTCATTAGAACCAATAAAGATTTCTTTTTGGGTTCTCTTCGAAGTTGAACACCTCATTTAAGAATTGTTTTTATCCAATAAGTAGGAATCAATTGAAAAGGCAAATCTCTTATGATACACGAGATCCGACTCAATTATTGATAGAGTGAATAGATTTTACATTTCTTGAAATCTCTCCTCTGATTCAACATCGTGGTGTAACACTTGTATGAGTGTATCCCCTTGTTCCCTCTATTAAAACTCTCTTCAGTTTTTTTTTTTTCTTTTAATTAAACTGTCACATTACTTTGAACAATTCGATGCATGTACTGCATCAACATTCCATCGTAGTACTTCTATTGCAGGGAAAAATTACTCTGTGGAATAGTAATTGATTTGTTTTTAAGTATCAATTTGGAATAGGAAAATTTTAACCAGATTTATCAAAAAAAATTGGATCATGTAGAATTTAGAGAAGAAAAAAAACTTAATAGTAAACTACCTCTTTATTAATCCAGCCAGGTTTAAAAACTAACCAGCACCTCAACTAAACTACACTGCTTAACTAAACTTAATAGTAAACTAAAGCCCACTTGTTAGTTCAGCCCTAAAATGAATTGGGCCTCTTGGGCTTCCTTGTCGAATGTAATCTTGGGCTTCCTTATCAAATGTGGCTACCTCATTTTCAAGAGATCTTTTATAAACTGAATCCCAAGTTCCTTCCATAACAGAGATTATATAATTTATAAGTAAATTTGAAGAAATTTTTTATAAACCAAATCTCAGGTTCCTTTCGCTAACAGAGATTATAATTTATAAGTAAACATGCTTTGGTTGAATGACGTTTTGGTAAAACACAAAAGAATAAATTTGTGCCAGTTAGACTATGATAGAGTTAAAACCGCTCAATTGGTGAGATGCAATAAATTAACAGAAAAATTTATTTTAATTAAATAAATTTTTTTCCAGACCAAGATGTGAAAGAGTTAAAAGTTAAAACCACCCTAAATTGGATTTCTAAGAGTTGATTAATTAACAATAAATAAATAAATAAAACCAATCGCATAAAAAACACCAGATTTTACGTGGTTCGGCAAAATTTGCCTACATCCACGGGACGTGATCAATCCATTAGAAATATCACATACATAATACAAGATTAATCTCTCAATACTAACCCCAGCCTAACTTTGAAACCCTCGTATACCCCTTCTTGATTAAAGACACTCAAATACCTAATTTTTCTTGTCACTCAATAATATCAACATTCTCTCTCTCTCTCTAAAAAAAAAAAAAAGAAAAAAAAAATTTCACATTATAGCATTGAACTCTCACATAGAATTTTACAAGTAATCTAACATAATTACAAAGTAAGTATGGTAAGTATTGGGCCAAACACCTATCCAACAACATGTTGATGGTCAGAGCTGTGACCTCATCACTTGAAAAGACTTTCTTCTGCCATCCACTATAAATACAAAAACTATTCCATTTTAAACAAAAGACTTGTATGAAAACTAGAGTTAATTCTACCTTTTGCTTTCAATAATGGAACTGATAGTGAAAATGTTTACTCAGTAAAGTCAAAAGATAAACCAAATAACTTAACATGAGGTCGAATGTGTAGATGTAAAATGCAAAATAAACCTCATTACTTTGACAAGATTGTGTTCTTTTCTTTTTGGCAACCTCGATGGTTCGATCAACACCTGAAATTCAAAATTAATTGTGTGTGACCATGAGCACAAATTTCCAAAACAAATAATTGAACACAAACTGGAATCATTCATAGCAATTGTTCATGCAGCCAGAACTTGTTGATAATACTGACATGAAATTCAATGGCTAAGATGCTTGAGAAAACTCCTTCATCGCATTTATAGTGGCTCAAAACATGTCTAGATTGATGCTTCAATAACCTTAGTTAAAACATCCACAGCAGAACATCAAATTTGTACGGCAGAGGAGGCTACAACATTAAGAGATGAGAAAGATCAGCCAAAACTTAAAAATCAACTCGAAAATGTTTGATTACTGGGTGCAATTTAAATACCATTTGAGTGTGGAAAGAAATCACAACAAAAGCAGTGAAAGTCATAGACCAATTTTCGACTTCATAGAACCAAGAATAGCACTGACCAATCCAATAATTCACCATAATAACTTCCCCACATCAGCCCTTCTCAATTCTACACACACTTCATTGCATAGGAAATATTTTTTCATCCAGCATTCCTTCTATCCCACTTGACAAAAACACAAAACAATTTTATGAGAAGATTGTGTTTTTTGAATAATTGCTCTCACAAATTAATAGACCCTTAAGAGAAATTTCACAAAATAACTTGCAACATTATACCATTGATGTACTTGCTTTATAAGAAAAAAAAGAAAAGAAAAGATGTTTCTGTATAAACTAATTACCTGAATTTACAACCACCTTTTGAGGAGAATAAAAAACAAAGGTGATATAATTCGTATTAGCAAGCACATAACACTTGGTCCAATGAGTCTGGTAACAAGAAAGAATATATCAACGTGTTGAATGGAACTGCTAGAAGTTTGTACAAGTCTTAATTCACTTAATCATGCAAACCTTAAATTTTAGTGGTAAACATGAGTTTTTGAATCCTGACAATTTAGCCCAGTGAGAAACATCTCCTTTAGATGGAATTCGATGCCTGTTTATTAAATGAAGCCAAAACATAAACCAAACATCTTAACATGATGTAGTATCTATAGATGTAAAAGGAAAAAGAACCACATTACTTGGCCAAGGTCAACTCTTGAAATTTTCTTTTTGATAGCCACAATGAAAAGACCAATGCGTGAAATTGATTATTCAAGAAATTTATGAAATAATTAACTTGCACCATTGATAGAATGGAAATATATAAAATTTCTTAACTAAAAAAGTAAAAAAAGGCCTTCCAAAATGATAATAGACAAAAGAAAGAACAATTCAAATTAGCAAAGGAAATTACCTCCAGAGCTCTGTATGTTTAGCTTCACCAACATCCCTCGTCCATCGCAACCCAAAAATAAGATATTATTTTTATAGTAATTCAGGATTCATTGCGTGTCTATGAGCATAAATACTGGAATCATTCATAGCAACTGTTTATGCAGCCAGAACTTGTTGATGATACTTACATGAAATCAATGACCAAGATGCTTGGAAAAACACCTTGATTGCATTTACAACAGCTCAAAACACTTCTGGATTGATGCCTATAATAACTTCAATAAAAACATCCACAACAGGACATCAAATTTGTACTTAGAGGAGACTGCAACATCAACAGATGAGAATGATTAGCCAATGCTTACGAAACCAACTCCAACATAAAGAAATTGCTGGGTGAATTTTAAATACCATTTGAGTGTGGATTGTTGGTCCAAGCAGGCATAATTATTTGCCACTTCATAGAACCAAGAATAACACAGAGCAATCCAATAATTCACCATAGATGCTTCCCCACATAAGTATCTCAACTCCACACACACTTCATTGCATAGGAAATATTGTTTCTTCTGCATACGGTCTGTCCCACTGAGAAAAAAACAGAACAAACTTATCCCAAGATGCCTTGTTTTCTCCTCAAGAAACATACTCTTTTCAGCCGTCCATGCAAATACACAAGATTCAATAAAAGCCCCCAAACAGGACATCTTATTTTTATTTTAAGAGCCTCCAACATTAAGAGATGAGAAAAACTTGGACAAAATATTAACAAAATCAACTCCTGCATTATATGATACAAAGTAATAGTTGGTGAAGTTTAATACCTTTGGTTTTGACATAATAGCCACAGAATGGAATTCAGCATGAGGACTACGCCACTTTATAGCATCCATGAACAAATCAAACTTATTCAAAACATTCAGAAGAAGGATTTTCCAATATAAGCCATCATGATTCTGCCCAAACCCCTGATTGTATTAAAAAGTTTCTCCATCATTCTGTCCATTGCTCTGCTCATCATCAGCTAATCATATTTAAAAGGTCATACTCAGTATAAGCAACTATCTTGCCACATTAGAAAATATTTTTGGTACTGATATTATAAAGTAAATAAAATAAAGCACAGCAAACATTATAAAATAAGTTAACAAAGGAAAAAGAAACAAGAAGACATATATAAGTAATGTGAAAAGTGATTGTTAATTGATATATATATAAATAGCTAGGTGAAGTTTAAATACCATTTGATCGTGAATCATGGTCAAACCATTGAAAGCTGGACACCGATTTGCCACTTCATAAAGAAGCCAAGAATAACAGACCAATCCGTAATTTAACCAGAATAACTTCCCCACATTAGACCTCCTCAATTTCTTAGGGAATAATGTCTCTCCAGCACCCAGTCTGCCCACTCGAGAAAAAATCTCAAATTTTATAACAAGATGACTTGTTTTTTCCTAAAGAACCATAGTCTTCTCAGCTTCCCCAGCAAAGAGTTAATAGCAACCCTGTTCACCAAAATGTATAATGTCAAACCATGATGTCTGTATGTTAATTTCATCTAGTGTAAAAATGGAATATAAAACAATTGCGACCACATAACATAGAGATGATAGACAATCTCATTTAGGTTGAACAACTGCAAAATGTGCAAAAGTTAAAAAAAAAAAAAAAAAAAAAAAAGAAAAAAAAAAAAAAAAAAAAAAAAAAAAAAAAAAAAAAGGAAGAAGAAATTAGCAGTGATTGTAGCTCTTATAATCATATTTCAACAAGCCAGTCTTCACCGGTCTCTTTCTTAAGGTAAAGGTGAATTCAACTCCAAAATGTATAATTACTAGTTGCAGTGTAAATACCAATTAGTGTGAAATCATGGCCAAAGCAGTGAAAGCCCAAACCGATTTTCCACTACTTAGAACCAATTACTATAGAGCCCAAAGGATTATTTAATTTCACCAACAATGGATTGTTAAATACATTTTTTTATGAGAGAGGTTTTGATAAAATTAATTGATCCTAAAATTTAGAATGAAGTCAAATATTTTTGGTATTTATATTAAATCTGATAAAATAAAGAAAATAAGTTAATAAAGGAAAAAGAAAGGAAGAAGACATATATAAATAATGTGAAAAATGATTGTTAATTGACATATATATTTATAAGACGCTTTAATTTGGAGCATCAAACATGAATATGATATCATTGATTTGGAAAGAAAACAACATCATACATAAAGAAGAAATTACCTATTAGTGGACGGTGACATTAGGGATGTGAGAGATCTTCTGCCAATCTTTACTTCTCTCTTTCTTGTAACGCTGAGTTAGAATATCGCAATACTCGATCTCCAATTGTTTTAGTGTTGGCGATTGAAGAATGTAATTGGGCAGCATTTTCAATTTATGGTTGTAATAAATCCTCAAGTAACGAAGACATGGCATGATTGTAATAACTAATTCATCTCCGCTAAAAGTAATATCATCCCACTCTTCCCATTCTACTATTCCACCAATCTCAAGATTTTTTAATTTGGGAAACACAATAGAAGATCGGGCAATGCCATCACTTTCTATTCCCAAAAATTCATTACCCACTTTTTTTACACTCGGAGCCCAATCTATAACGAGTGATTCAAGAGATGATAATTTTCCCAAAGGAGGCAAATACTCATAGTTGTTGCAACGACTAAATGTTAACTCCCTCAACTGAGTTAATGATACTATCCAATTTGGCCATATAGTTTTACCACCATAATACTTTAAGCATAATTTCACTAAATTTGGAGGTGGTTCTAAGGCCTCAACAACCATTTCATCTCTCTCAACACTTTTACTTCGGTTATTTCCAGTTCTAAAATCTAAAAGTAAAGAGAGGAGGCTTGTCTTATTCCAAAGGTTTGCTCGCTTAACTTCACTGACATCTCCCACATTTTCTAACCCCAAAATACCAAGAGACCGAAGATTTGTCAAGTTTTTCAAAGTTTCAATACTACACGCTTTACCGCCATGGCTACTACTACTCAATACAAGATCTTTCAAAGTTCGAAGACAAGTTAATCCTTCAATTCCTTTTGGCATGTATTCTACTCCATCAGTATTAATTATTAAATGCCTCAAGTTGATTAACTTCCCCATCTCTTGAGGTAATTTTGTTAGACCATAACAATTGGCAACGTTTAACGTTTGTAAGTTATATAAATCACACAATTCCTTCGGCAATTCTTTTAGCTTCTCATTAAAAGATAAATCAAGATACCTCAAATGTCTCATCTTTTTTATTTCTCGAGTTATTTCTTGAATAGCACCCAAAAAAATGACATTTTTATTATAGGCACCAAACTGTAATGCTCGTAGACTTAAGTTATGAAACGATTTGGATAAAGTTGGATGGCTGCTCACTTGACACTTAACCAAAAGGCTACGCAATTTATTTTCATTACAAATGCTTGTAGGAAACGAGTCTCGTTCTCCTCTAAGTATTACCATTGAGTGTCGAGCTTTTTTGAAAGAAGACTTTAACTGAGACTCAACATAATTATCAGTCTTTATACTTAAACATTCATTTTTGGTAAGAAGTTGAGCAAAATCATGCACTATATCATGCATCTTACAACTTTCTATGCTACCATCATATTCATTTTTCTTAAAGTCTTGAAAAAAAGAGCGCATTGCTAAGTTTTCAAAATACTCTTCCCCAATTAACTCCATGTCCTTGTTTCGCTCATCCCTAAGATAACTTTGCGCCATCCATAATTTAATTAATTCATCTTTTTCTATCTCATAATCTTTTGGAAAGATAGCACAATATGAGAAGCACTTTTTCAATGTAAAAGGCAAATCATAATAGCTTAATAGTAAAGGTGGAAAAATCCCTCTCTCTACCTGTTCTATTTCCCACATTTCACTTTCTAGAACACTTTGCCACTCACCAATATTTGTTTTGAAACGCAAGAGGCTTCCTAAGGTTTTTATAGCAAGAGGTAAGCCGTTGCATTTGGCTGCAATTTTTCTACCAATATCTTTTGATTTTTCACTGCCTTCACCTAAAAATGCAATTTGACTAAATAGCGACCAAGACTCATTTATGGATAATGTCCCTAACATGATCATGTTGGTGGCTCCTATAGTTTTGGCAACATTTTGCTTACGTGTGGTAACTAGAATTCTACTTCCTTGGGAACCATATTTCAAAACAATCATCAATTGTTCCCAATCTTTGGGATCCTCAGTCCATACATCATCAAGGACAAGAAAAAACTTCTTTCTCTCTAGAGATAGACTTATCTTTTGCAAAATATTTTCTAATTCAACCAATGCCCCTTCTGAAGAAACTTTCACAAGAGATTCGAGGATTGCTTTTGCAACCCTTGTCTCATTGAAAGGTTCTGAGACACATACCCATATCCTTTCATCAAAATGGGCTTTTACTTTATCATCATTAAAAGCTAATTGAGCAAGAGTAGTCTTACCTATTCCTCCCATCCCTACAATAGAAATGATAGAGATGGTTGGTTCATGACTATTCTCATTCAACAACTTGTTTAGTAATTCATCCTTATCATCATCTCTTCCATGGACCATTGACACATCAATACAAGATGCAGTCACTGGTCGTCTTATTTCTACCGTGCCCTCTTTCAAACTAAAACCAAACATATTTTTTTCCATAGCAACAGCATCTAGCGTTTTACTTAGATCTTTTATATTGAGAGTAATATCATGACGCATGCCAATTTGTCCAAAATGAACGTGATAACAAGGGATGAGTGAACATACCTTTCTCAAAGGCTTGGAAGCATTTTCAACATCCTTAAGTTGTAATTTCCCAATAGAAGTGTTCCAATCATCCAACACATCGTCTATGTCATAAGATGCCTCTTTAAGCTTATCTAGCCAATCCCTCACGGCATTGTCCTTGAATTGTTTGCTCTCTGCATCTTCAAGCACAGCTCGTATGGACCGGAAATTGCTGGTGAGCTTTCGGACGTCGTCATCAACACCCGCCACTAGCTTCAACTCTTGACTAGCGATTGAAGCCAACTGCTCCAAGATAATGGAAACAAGTGTTTCAGCCATACTCAAAACGGTAACTGATTGAAGAAAGATGAGAAAATTGATATTTAGTGTTGTGTGTAGACACTGCTACGGTACATTCAATATATATAGTGCATGGAACGAACAAATTAAGCAATCTTTACTTGACGCATGGCTTGAATCAGAATTTACTTAGATGCTGGTTAAGGCATAAATGTAACCTGGAACAAGGTGCTTTGCATCATGAAATTAATTTAGAATAAAAGACATGTTCCCACCCAAGGTTTCGCGAATCTCTAAGTTCCCACCCATGGTTTTATAAATTCCAGATTCGCGAAACCTTGGGTCAGAACATGTCTTTTATTCTAAAATTTATCGATTCAGTACAGAGAAGGATTTTCCAATATAAGCCATCATGATTTGCCAAACCCCTGATTGTATTAAAAAGTTTCTCCATCATTCTGTCCATTGCTTGCTCATCATCAGCTAATCATATTTAAAAGGTCATACTCAGTATAAGCAACTATCTTGCCACATTAGAAAATATTTTGGTACTTATATTATAAAGTAATAAAATAAAGCACAGCAAACATATAAAATAAGTTAAAAGGAAAAGAAACAAGAAGACATATATAGTAATGTGAAAAGTGATTGTTAATTGATATATAAATAAGAGGTGAAGTTTAAATACCATTTGATCGTGAATCATGGTCAAACCATTGAAAGCTGGACACCGATTGCCACTTCATAAAGAAGCCAAGAATAAACGACCAATCCGTAATTTAACCAGATAAACTTCCCCACATTAGACCTCCTCAATCTTAGGAATAATGTCTCTCCAGCACCCATCTGCCCACTCGAGAAAAATCTCAAATTTTAACAAGATGACTTGTTTTTCCTCAAGAACCTAGTCTTCTCAGCTTCCCCAGCAAAGAGTTAATAGCAACCCTGTTCACCAAAATGTAAATGTAAACCATGATGTCTGTATGTTAATTTCATCTAGTGTAAAAATGGAATATAAAACATTGCGACCCACTAACATAGAGATGATAGACAATCTCATTTATGTGAACAACTGCAAAATGTGCAAAAGTTAAAAAAAAAAAAAAAAAAAAAAAAGGAAGAAGAAAATTAGCATGATTGTGCTCTTATAATCATATTTCAACAAGCCAGTCTCTCACGGTCTCTTTCTTAAGGTAAAGGTGAATTCAACTCCAAAATGTATAATTACTAGTTGCAGTATAAATACCAATTAGTGTGAAATCATGGCCAAAGCAGTGAAAGCCCAAACCGATTTTCCACTACTTAGAACCAATTACTATAGAGCCCAAAGGATTATTTATTTCACAACAATGGATTGTTAAATACATTTTTTTATGAGAGAGGTTTTGATAAAATTAATTGATCCTAAAATTTAGAATGAAGTCAAATTTTTGGATTTATATTAAATCTGATAAAATAAAGAAATAAGTTAATAAAGGAAAAGAAAGGAAGAAGACATATATAAATATGTGAAAAATGATTGTTGACATATATATTTATAAGACGCTTAATTTGGAGCATAAACATGAATATGATTCATTGATTTGGAAAGAAAACAACATCATACATAAAGAAGAAATTACCTATTAGGGACGGTGACATTAGGGATGTGAGAGATCTTCTGCCAATCTTTACTTCTCTCTTTCTTGTAACGCTGAGTTAGAATATCGCAATACTCGATCTCCAATTGTTTTAGTGTTGGCGATTGAAGAATGTAATTGGGCAGCATTTTCAATTTATGGTTGTAATAAATCCTCAGAACGAAGACATGGCATGATTGTAATAACTAATTCATCTCCGCTAAAAGTAATATCATCCACTCTTCCCATTCTACTATTCCACCAATCTCAAGATTTTTTAATTTGGGAAACCAATAGAAGATCGGGCAAGCCATCACTTTTATTCCCAAAAATTCATTACCCACTTTTTTACACTCGGAGCCCAATCTATAACGAGTGATTCAAGAGATGATAATTTTCCCAAAGGAGGCAAATACTCATAGTGTTGCAAGACTAAATGTTAACTCCCTCAACTGAGTAATGATACTATCCAATTTGGCCATATAGTTTTACCACCATAATACTTAAGCATAATTTCACTAAATTTGGAGGTGGTTCTAAGGCCTCAACAACCATTTCATCTCTCTCAACACTTTACTTCGGTTATTTCCAGTTCTAAAATCTAAAAGTAAAGAGAGGAGGCTTGTCTTATTCCAAAGGTTTGCTCGCTTAACTTCACTGACAACACCTATCCAACAACATGTTGATGGTCAGAGCTGTGACCTCATCACTTGAAAAGACTTTCTTCTGCCATCCACTATAAATACAAAAACTATTCCATTTTAAACAAAAGACTTGTATGAAAACTAGAGTTAATTCTACCTTTTGCTTTCAATAATGGAACTGATAGTGAAAATGTTTACTCAGTAAAGTCAAAAGATAAACCAAATAACTTAACATGAGGTCGAATGTGTAGATGTAAAATGCAAAATAAACCTCATTACTTTGACAAGATTGTGTTCTTTTCTTTTTGGCAACCTCGATGGTTCGATCAACACCTGAAATTCAAAATTAATTGTGTGTGACCATGAGCTCAAATTTCCAAAACAAATAATTGAACACAAACTGGAATCATTCATAGCAATTTTTCATGCAGCCATAACTTGTTGATAATACTGACATGAAATTCAATGGCTAAGATGCTTGAGAAAACTCCTTCATCGCATATATAGTGGCTCAAAACATGTCTAGATTGATGCTTCAATAACCTTAATTAAAACATCCACAGCAGAACATCAAATTTGTACGGCAGAGGAGGCTACAACATTAAGAGATGAGAAAGATCAGCCAAAACTTAAAAATCAACTCGAAAATGTTTGATTACTGGGTGCAATTTAAATACCATTTGAGTGTGGAAAGAAATCACAACAAAAGCAGTGAAAGTCATAGACCAATTTTCGACTTCATAGAACCAAGAATAGCACTGACCAATCCAATAATTCACCATAATAACTTCCCCACATCAACCCTTCTCAATTCTACACACACTTCATTGCATAGGAAATATTTTTTCATCCAGCATTCCATCTGTCCCACTTGACAAAAACACAAAACAATTTTATGAGAAGATTGTGTTTTTTGAATAATTGCTCTCACAAATTAATAGACACTTAAGAGAAATTTCACAAAATAACTTGCAACATTATACCATTGATGTACTTGCTTCATAAGAAAAAAAGAAAAGAAAAGATGTTTCTGTATAAACTAATTACCTGAATTTACAACCACCTTTTGAGGAGAATAAAAAACAAAGGTGATATAATTCGTATTAGCAAGCACACAACACTTGGTCCAATGAGTCTGGTAACAAGAAAGAATATATCAACGTGTTGAATGGAACTGCTAGAAGTTTGTACAAGTCTTAATTCACTTAATCATGCAAACCTTAAATTTTAGTGGTAAACATGAGTTTTTGAATCCTGACAATTTAGCCCAGTGAGAAACATCTCCTTTAGATGGAATTCGATGCCTGTTTATTAAATGAAGCCAAAACATAAACCAAACATCTTAACATGATGTAGTATCTATAGATGTAAAAGGAAAAAGAACCACATTACTTGGCCAAGGTCAACTCTTGAAATTTTCTTTTTGATAGCCACAATGAAAAGACCAATGCTTGAAATTGATTATTCAAGAAATTTATGAAATAATTAACTTGCACCATTGATAGAATGGAAATATATAAAATTTCTTAACTAAAAAAGTAAAAAAAGGCCTTCCAAAATGATAATAGACAAAAGAAAGAACAATTCAAATTAGCAAAGGAAATTACCTCCAGAGCTCTGTATGTTTAGCTTCACCAACATCCCTCGTCCATCGCAACCCAAAAATAAGATATTATTTTTTTAGTAATTCAGGATTCATTGCGTGTCTATGAGCATAAATACTGGAATCATTCATAGCAACTGTTTATGCAGCCAGAACTTGTTGATGATACTTACATGAAATCAATGACCAAGATGCTTGGAAAAACACCTTGATTGCGTTTACAACAGCTCAAAACACTTCTGGATTGATGCCTATAATAACTTCAATAAAAACATCCACAACAGGACATCAAATTTGTACTTAGAGGAGACTGCAACATCAACAGATGAGAATGATTAGCCAATGCTTACGAAACCAACTCCAACATAAAGAAATTGCTGGGTGAATTTTAAATACCATTTGAGTGTGGATTGTTGGTCCAAGCAGGCATAATTATTTGCCACTTCATAGAACCAAGAATAACACAGAGCAATCCAATAATTCACCATAGATGCTTCCCCACATAAGTATCTCAACTCCACACACACTTCATTGCATAGGAAATATTGTTTCTTCTGCATTCGGTCTGTCCCACTGAGAAAAAAACAGAACAAACTTATCCCAAGATGCCTTGTTTTCTCCTCAAGAAACATACTCTTTTCAGCCGTCCATGCAAATACACAAGATTCAATAAAAGCCCCCAAACAGGACATCTTATTTTTATTTTAAGAGCCTCCAACATTAAGAGATGAGAAAAACTTGGACAAAGTATTAACAAAATCAACTCCTGCATTATATGATACAAAGTAATAGTTGGTGAAGTTTAATACCTTTGGTTTTGACATAATAGCCACAGAATGGAATTCAGCATGAGGACTACGCCACTTTATAGCATCCATGAACAAATCAAACTTATTCAAAACATTCAGAAGAAGGATTTTCCAATATAAGCCATCATGATTCTGCCCAAACCCCTGATTGTATTAAAAAGTTTCTCCATCATTCTGTCCATTGCTCTGCTCATCATCAGCTAATCATATTTAAAAGGTCATACTCAGTATAAGCAACTATCTTGCCACATTAGAAAATATTTTTGGTACTTATATTATAAAGTAAATAAAATAAAGCACAGCAAACATTATAAAATAAGTTAACAAAGGAAAAGAAACAAGAAGACATATATAAGTTGTGAAAAGTGATTGTTAATTGATATATATAAAATAGCTAGGTGAAGTTTAAATACCATTTGATCGTGAATCATGGTCAAACCATTGAAAGCTGGACACCGATTTGCCACTTCATAAAGAACCAAGAATAACACCAATCCGTAATTTAACCAGAATAACTTCCCCACATTAGACCTCCTCAATTTCTTAGGGAATAATGTCTCTCCGCACCCAGTCTGCCCACTCGAGAAAAAATCTCAAATTTTATAACAAGATGACTTGTTTTCTCCTAAGAACCTAGTCTTCTCAGCTTCCCCAGCAAAGAGTTAATAGCAACCCTGTTCACCAAAATGTAAATGTCAAACCATGATGTCTGTATGTTAATTTCATCTAGTGTAAAAATGAATATAAAACAATTGCGACCACATAACATAGAGATATAGACAATCTCATTTAGGTTGACAACTGCAAAATGTGCAAAAGTTAAAAAAAAAAAAAAAAAAAAAAAAAAGGAAGAAGAAATTAGCATGTTGTAGCTCTTATAATCATATTTCAACAAGCCAGTCTCACCGGTCTCTTTCTTAAGGTAAGGTGAATTCAACTCCAAAATGTAAATTACTAGTTGCAGTATAAATACCAATTAGTGTGAATCATGGCCAAAGCAGTGAAAGCCCAAACCGATTTTCCACTACTTAAACCAATTACTATAACCCAAAGGATTATTTAATTTCACCAACAATGGATTGTTAATACTTTTTTATGAGAGAGTTTTGATAAAATTAATTGATCCTAAAATTTAGAATGAAGTCAAATATTTTGGTATTTATATTAAATCTGATAAAATAAAGAAAATAAGTTAATAAAGGAAAAAGAAAGGAAGAAGACATATATAAATAATGTGAAAAATGATTGTTGACATATATATTTATAAGACGCTTTAATTTGGAGCATCACCATGAATATGATATCATTGATTTGGAAAGAAAACAACATCATACATAAAGAAAAATTACCTATTAGTACGGTGACATTAGGGATGTGAGAGATCTTCTGCCAATCTTTACTTCTCTCTTTCTTGTAACGCTGGTTAGAATATCGCAATACTCGATCTCCAATTGTTTTAGTGTTGGCGATTGAAGAGGTAATTGGGCAGCATTTTCAATTTATGTTGTAATAAATCCTCAAGAACGAAGACATGGCATGATTGTAATAACTAATTCTCTCCGCTAAAAGTAAATCATCCCACTCTTCCCATTCTACTATTCCACCAATCCAAGATTTTTTAATTTGGGAAACACAATAGAAGATCGGCAATGCCATCACTTTCTATTCCCAAAAATTCATTACCCACTTTTTTACACTCGAGCCCAATCTATAACGAGTGATTCAAGAGATGATAATTTCCCAAAGGAGGCAAATACTCATAGTGTTTGCACGACTAAATGTTAACTCCCTCACTGAGTTATGATACTATCCAATTTGGCCATATAGTTTTACCACCATAATACATTAAGCATAATTTCACTAAATTTGGAGGTGGTTCTAAGGCCTCAACAACCATTTCATCTCTCTCAACACTTTACTTCGGTTATTTCCAGTTCTAAAATCTAAAAGTAAAGAGAGGAGGCTTGTCTTATTCCAAAGGTTTGCTCGCTTAACTTCACTGACATCTCCCACATTTTCTAACCCAAAATACCAAACCGAAGATTTGTCAAGTTTTCAAAGTTTCAATACTACACGCTTTACCCGCATGGCTACTACTACTCAATACAAGATCTTTCAAAGTTCGAAGACAAGTTAATCCTTCAATTCCTTTTGGCATGTATTCTACTCCATCAGTATTAATTATTATGCCTCAAGTTGATTAACTTCCCCATCTCTTGAGGTAATTTTGTTAGACCATAACAATTGGCAACGTTTAACGTTTGTAAGTTATATAAATCACACAATTCCTTCGGCAATTCTTTTAGTTCTCATTAAAATAAATCAAGATACCTCAAATGTCTCATCTTTTTATTTCTCGAGTTATTTCTTGAATAGCACCCAAAAAATGACATTTTATTATAGGCACCAAACTGTAATGCTCGTAGACTTAAGTTATGAACGATTGGATAGAGTTGGATGCTGCTCACTTGACACTAACCAAGGCTACGCAATTTATTTTCATTACAATGCTTGTAGAAACGAGTCTCGTTCTCCTCTAAGTATTACCATTGAGTGTCGAGCTTTTTTGAAAGAGACTTTAACTGAGACTCAACTAATTATCAGTCTTTATACTTAAACATTCATTTTGTTAAGAAGTTGAGCAAAATCATGCACTATCATGCATCTTACAACTCTATGCTACCATCATATTCATTTTTCTTAAAGTCTTGAAAAAAAGAGCGCATTGCTAAGTTTTCAAAATACTCTTCCCCAATTAACTCCATGTCCTGGTTTCGCTCATCCCTAAGATAACTTTGCGCCATCCATAATTTAATTAATCATCTTTTTCTATCTCTAATCTTTTGGAAAGATAGCACAATATGAGAAGCACTTTTTCAATGTAAAAGGCAAATCATAATAGCTTAATAGTAAAGGTGAAAAATCCCTCTCTCTACCTGTTCTATTTCCACATTTCACTTTTCTAAACACTTTGCCACTCACCAATATTTGTTTTGAAACGCAAGAGGCTTCTAAGGTTTTTATAGCAGAGGTAAGCCTTTGCATTGGCTGCAATTTTTCTACAATATCTTTAATTTTTCACTGCCTTCACCTAAAAATGCAATTTGACTAAATAGCGACCAAGACTCATTTATGGTAATGTCCCTAACATGATCTGTGGTGGCTCCTATAGTTTTGGCAACATTTTGCTTACGTGTGGTAACTAGAATTCTACTTCCTTGGGAACCATATTTCAAAACAATCATCAATTGTTCCCAATCTTTGGGATCCTCAGTCCATACATCATCAAGGACGAAAAAACTCTTTTCTCTCTAGAGATAGACTTATCTTTTGCAAAATATTTCTAATTCAACCAATGCCCCTTCTGAGAAACTTTCACAGAGATTCGAGGATTGCTTTTGCAACCCTTGTCTCTTGAAAGTGCTGAGACACATACCCATATCCTTTCATCAAATGGCTTTTACTTTATCATCATTAAAAGCTAATTGAGCAAGAGTAGTCTTACCTATTCCTCCCATCCCTACAATAGAAATGATAGAGATGTTGGTCATGACTATTCCATTCAACAACTTGTTTAGTAATTCATCCTTATCATCATCTCTTCCATGGACCATTGACATCATAAAAATGCAGTCACTGGTCTCTTATTTCTACCGTGCCCTCTTTCAAACTAAAACCAAACATATTTTTTTCCATAGCACACAGCATCAGCGTTTTACTCGATCTTTTATATTGAGAGAATATCATGACGCATGCCAATTTGTCCAAAATGAACGTGATAACAAGGGATGAGTGAACATACCTTTCTCAAAGGCTTGGAAGCATTTTCAACATCCTAAGTTGTATTTCCCAATAGAAGTGTTCCATCATCCAACACATCGTCTATGTCATAAGATGCCTCTTTAAGCTTATCTAGCCAATCCCTCACCATTGTCCTTGAATTGTTTGCTCTCTGCATCTTCAAGCACAGCTCGTATGGACGGAAATTGCTGTGAGCTTTCGGACGTCGTCATCAACACCCGCCACTACTTCAACTCTTGACTAGCGATTGAGACAACTGCTCCAAATAATGGAAACAAGTGTTTCAGCCATACTCAAAACGGTAACTGATTGAAGAAGATGAAAAATTGATATTTAGTGTTGTGTGTAGACACTGCTACGGTACATTCAATATATATAGTGCTGGAACGAACAAATTAGCAATCTTTACTTGACGCATGGCTGAATCAGAATTTTCTAGATGCTGGTTAAGCATAAATTAACCTGGAACAGTCTTTGCATCATGAAATTAATTTAGAATAAAGACATGTTCCCACCCAAGGTTTCGCGAATCTCTAAGTTCCCACCCATGTTTATAAATTCCAGATTCGCGAAACCTTGGGTCAGAACATGTCTTTATTCTAAAATTTATCGATTCTGCGTAACATTCCAGATTCGCGAAACCTTGGGTCAGAACTGTCTTTTATTCTAAAATTTATGATTCTGCATAACAATAGAAAAACAAGAATCGATTCAAATTAAGGGTTGACACATGTTCAGTGAACTTAAGTAGCACGTTCTCTAAATATTGGGAATAACATTAAAATTTTGGGAATTAATTCCTTGTTCTTTAATTAACAAAATAAGACGGTATACATTAAAATATTTAGGATTTAATTCCTTTTTCACCTTGTAGTTTCAGTAAACTAAGTACTATAGTTTTAGGAGTTACGTACAGCCACCGAAGTTTGTGTATCGAATTTGTAACCGAATGACGTGGCAAAATCCTGACCGTTGATTTATTATCAATTAATATTAATCAACGGTCAAGATTTTACCATGTCATTCGGTGCACAGATTCAGTGCGCAACTTTGGTGGCTCTATCATTTTCCTAGTTTTAGTACTTCTGTTCAACTGTTAGGGTAAATTTGAAGGAAGTAAGGTAATTTCCATAAGGTGCACTTGTGTATTGTATAATTCACTAAATTGCAGTTTAAGGATAGCATTACCCTCGTACACAAGATTCATGTTAGATACTATTCTTCGATGTCTATAATTCAAGGACTGAAATATACTATATTAAATAAAAATGATATCCTTACAAAGACTCATACAAAGGGGTTACAAAGTGACATCACAAGAAGAAAAAACAAAGAAAAAACAAAAAGAGAAGAGAGAGAAATCGAAATCAAGGGTAAAAAAAAAGAGAGAGAGAGAGAAATCATGAAAATCAAGGGTAAAGATTGTCTTTAGTCTTTCGAAGATTGCCCCATTTGTATGTGTCTTTGTACAACTAGCATTGCTCGTTAAAATACTGTCTTTGATGTGAGTTGACTGAAATCATACAAATAAAATGTAATTAACTCAAATACTTGGATATGTACAAAATTATGATTGCCTCATAGCAGTGTTTTAAAACCTGGCCCAGCCCAACCCAACCCAGCCAGTTGAACCGATTCAACCAAGACCCGAGGCCTTCATGGGTGGGTTACCAATTTTGAATGTTCATGGAATACCCTAGAGATTAGGATGACGATTGACGAACAGTTGGTGGTTGGAATGTTGGGGGTTTTGAAGAGGAAGGGTCAGCGAGTCGAAAGGTGGCGACGTAGGTGAATTTTGGTGAGTGAAATGACTGAAAATAGCAAAAATCAATTGACGACAACAACGGGTTGTTGCCAGCGATTAGAGAGGTGAATGGGGGTGGGGTGAGATGGGTTTTTTTCAGGAGGTTGAGGGGAGAGTTTTCATGGTGATGGGGTGTGTTGTCGACGCCGGAAACATGCCCTATTTAGCTTGGGTTGTCGACGCCGACGGTGTAGTTTGGGGTTTTTTTTGCAAGATTTAAAACATGTAGTGACTTATGAGAATTTTAGGGGTGTTTTTGCTAGATTCAAACATTTGGACATGTTGACATCACTGGTTTGACCCCTTGGTAAAACCGGTTTAATTGGTCAACCCGGGACTTGGCCACTTTGCTGGGTTTTACCCCGGGCCAGGTTTTAAAACCTTGCCTCTAAGTTGTTTCATAATATCATAAACTCCCCATCGTTTGCAATAACCCACTAAATTCTACATACATTTTAAGAAAGTTTTAAAACCTTGCCTCTAAGTTGTTTCATAATATCATAAACTCCCCATCGTTTGCAATAACCCACTAAATTCTACATACATTTTAAGAAAGTTTTAAAACCTTGCCTCTAAGTTGTTTCATAATATCATAAAACTCCCCATCATTTGCAATAACCCATAAAATCTATCTACATTTTAAGTGAGTTTTAAAACCTTGCCTGTAACTTGTATCATAATATCATAAAACTCCCCATTGTTTACAAAAACCCACTAATTTCTGTCTGTCTAGTACGTCCCCGTGCTTTTCCCAACTCCAAACCATATACCCTACAAGCTACAATACAAAAATAAAACGACGTATATCACAACTATAATTACATGAAAACGACGACGTCGTACATCCTCACCAAAATCTCCAATCCCAGAAACCGACAATGAAAACCCTAATCTTCTGCATCTCGTTTCCAACCAATCACTTCGGCGACTTCTCCACACTATATCTCCGGCGATTTCTTTGTCGTCGGTCTTTTCTATAGGTCCGATTTTCAATTAAATTCTTCTGCTTACAATTATTCGAAAATGGATCTTGTGGAACCGCTGACGAGTTATCCGGGTCCAATGGACCCGATAGTCCTGTACGACCAAGAGCAACACGTTTCATCGGCGATTTGGGAGGGCCAAGACCGTGGCACGCTGAGATGTCACGAACACACATCGAAAATCGACGGCTGGAAGCTCACAAAGAAGCAAATCGAGTTGGTGACCAAAGCAGGATTCGGACATTTCAGATTGATCGGGCAAATTAGTTTGAACAATCCGCTGATTTCTGCTTTGGTTGAACGGTGGAGAAGAGAAACCAACACCTTTCATTTACCGCACGGTGAGATAACGATCACTCTCGATGAGGTGGCGCGAATTATCGGACTACGCGTTGACGGAGAAGCCGTAGTGAGAGATAACAGTATGTCAGGTACTGGAAAGAAAACTTACCATCCTCTGCCCTTTAATATTATTATAGATAGATTCAATTTCAACGGTTTCTAAAATAATGCATCAGTGGCATGATATATATTGGAGGTTTATTACTTCGCAATTGTATCATATAGTTTCATTTGTAAATTTGCGGAAAGTTTCGTTTGGAAACACTTTTGTCGGGGGATGATTCAAGGAACCTGAGTTGAGGAGTGCTGGTGGATTCTAGAGTTATTTCTTAATGAATTTGAGTTGTTCTCTAAAATGTTATTTAGTTTATTTATTTGGTTGCGTTGCATCAGGTTCTCATATGGAAATTTGTGGAGATTTATTGGGGAAAGTTCCGAATTCGGATGCTAAGGAGATAAAGGGTGGAATGGTGAAACTGAGTTGGTTGAAAGATAATTTTTCTGATTGTCCGAAAGATGCTAGTAATGAAGAAGTTGAGCAACGGACTCGCGCATTTCTGCTGTATTTGGTGGGAAGCACGATATTTGCTACAACGTCGGGGAATCTTGTCCCACTTCTGTACCTTCCATTGTTCAAGGACTTTGAAAATGCTGGGAAGTATGCATGGGGTGCGGCAGCTCTAGCATTCTTGTATAGACAGCTTGGTAAAGCTTCTACGAAATCTCAAGGTACCATCAGTGGCTCCTTGACGCTGTTACAGGTAACTTGCATTTCATTTTCTGTTCAAATTTTAAATTTTATGTTTCGTGCAGGGTAAATTCTATCAAGTAGTATTGATACATGAAGATAATATATGCGAAACTTGTGGTAGGATCCATGTGACCTTTTTAATGTGAGATATGAAACTTGTTACCACTTCCTGGACCTTGCTTAGCAAACTCGTATTAGAAACTGGGGTCCTTGCTGAACCTACATTCTTTGGAAAGTAGTGGTTATGACTTTTCTCCTAGTAGTTGGACTTAAGAATTATATCCCATACCTTGTAGAGCAAACTAAATGCCTGAGTTGCTTGACTTAATTATTTAGTTGCTACAAATATGAATTATAACGTAAGATGTACAACTTATTATAGGAAAATGTTAAACTGGTGAAAATTTTACAAATCTTATGTTTAATATCTATATCAGCAGCTTTTGTTGAATGAATCATTCTATTAATGGGACTTAATGTGGCAAAGCTTTTGAAATGTTGCTATATTAATAACTTTTTTGGAAAGTCTGGATTAATTATATAAAGCACTTTTTTCAGTGTTGGAGTTATTTTCACCTGAACATTGGCCGACCAGAGCTTAAGCAAGATTTGTCCCATCAATTTCCACTTGCTCTTCGTTGGAAAGGAAAACTGAATAATCAAGCTAAATCCGATGTAGTTATGTACAGACAGAAATTGGATGCACTGGAGCCAACTGATGTAAGTGTTTTAACTTGGTCAAATTAGAGGTTGTTATGTAGTTTTTTATTGCTTGACATCTGATGGCCCAGATTGGTACAAACAGATTAATTGGACTCCTTACGCGAATTTGGATGGCAGTATACCAGAGGAGATTAGAGGAGATCTTATTCTGGGAAAATCTAGAACAATCATAATTTGTATGGATAAAGCTGAATGGCATTTGCCTGATCGTTGTTTGAGGCAGTTTGGGTTGCGTCAATCAATTCCACTAGATGTGCAGCGACGTGAGAGTAAGAGTAATGAACTTGATACAGAGATAGAGTCATCCAAAAAAATGGATTTAGAGTTGCAAGAGTGGTCAACTCGCCACCAAAATATTGTGCGCGGTGTGGTAGGTGGGGAGGATGTGGATGAAACTGAATACATTTGGTGGTACTCAAAAATTACCAGGAAAAAGCTTCATAGGCAAGCATTTGTTCCGTCTCAGTTTCAAGAATCGGTAAGGATCCTCTTTTCTTTCCTACTTTCTTTAATCCATGATTAATGGTCTCTCTGGCCAAAGTAAAGTATATTGTATTATATATGACTTTCACAGGTTGCCGAAATGATAAAAATACAAGAAATAGCATATGCAGCATCAACAGAAGACTTGAGTTTGAAAAACAAGGTAGCATTGGAGAAGATTAAAGCAGTAGTAGATAGATTTCTGGCGAATCGAATCGAAGGTTTCAAGGCGCTCGAGAAGCGGAAGAGATCCAGTGAAGATGATTTGATCGATGAGGATGTCTAGAGTTGTCAGAGTGCCGTTTCTGTACTAGTTTACCAGCTTTGCTAACTGGCAATGTATATTTTATCTATTAATTTAGCCAAATTATTTGAATCAATTGTATTCTTTGTGCAATCTAACATCTTCAGAAAAACTTTCTATTATTGCGATGATATAGTGTATTTGAACCATTGAATAAACGATATCCAGTCACTATTGTCTGCTTTACTTCTAGATGCCACAAAAATCATAAAAATGTTGTAAAATAACGAAAATCATAATAAATTTCCTTCCAGAAGTAGTCAGATTTTTTTTGGAATTTCACTAATTTTGTCAGGAAGGAAAATGTGAAATTTCTAAACCAGGAGGGTTTACATGTAATTGAACTCAAATATAGACGGCTGCATGAAAAATCTATCCCTTCGAAAAATAATTGAGTTAAACGACATACAACTTAATACCGATTGGAGTATAACGACAATGTCGTTTATCTGCGAATGTCTCTCGTCCCAGTAACCGACAATCAAATTCGTTCCCGATCTTACTTCGGTGATTCTCAAGGCAATTTCTCCGGCAAGTGCTCCATCACCGGTGAGTTTCACTCTCTCTCTAACTTCTGCTTTTGATAGATCTCAGTTTGGATCCTTGTTATTCTTGTTTAGTTTGCGTTAAATCTCCTTATCATTACGCTATTTTTGCATTCCTTTTTGTTCTTCAATTTTTACCATGTGTCTTTAGTACAAAAGATCTTGTACTTTTTGATAATTAAAAAATGATATTGAAAATTTTTTTGTTGTAATTTTGTTGATTAGAAATGGACCTCCTCCTATTGCAAGGGGACGTTGATGAGTTCAGAGAGATTATGGGAATCATCAATAAAGAAATGGATTTGGTTACTTTAAGTGATGAGAATCTTCGCCGTGTATTTATGATTTTCGAAATAGCATTTGGAGTGGTCAATGCCCGAACGAAGCCGGTAAATAGAGACTATAAAAAGATTATTACTTCATTTTTTCATGCTTATTGAATGGTTTTGTAGTAATATGTTGAATATTACAGGTTACAGAGACGGATGTGGACCAGTTATGGTGTTCTAGTGTTGACGGCATGGTAAGAATTATTTGTTTTGATTGAGAGTTGGATAATTAGGTTAGGATAGAACTGAAATGAAATGGAATGAAGTAAATCAATCTATGGAGAGAAATGACTCTGGCATATGGCCTTTAAATGTATGATGTTGTAATCTACAAATCCATAATACTTTCATTTAAAGCCCTTTTTATCATATTGCTTCGTTTCACTTTTGTCTGAACAGTGTTGGTTAATACTGGACTTCGTCTTGTATCCTGGTGAAGAAAGTACTAGAGCTTATAATCATATAGGTTTTAAGATAAGGTTTATTTTTTCTGCTGTTGCTACTTGTCTCTTACTTAATGAAGAAAAGAGTCTAATTCTTTTTTACTGAATGATTGCAATATAATCTGCAGGTGGCTGTGGCCAAGCAGATATTTGATTATGCAAGTGAGATGACTTTTCAGGACTTAGATGAACAGTGGAAGCAAGCAGTTCTGGGGATGTTAAGAGGTGCATGCAATGTAATCAGTAAACAAAGTGTGCTTGACTCAACTCAGCTAGGTGTACTTAAGGAACTTCAAGCCGAAGTTGCTTTAACAACTAATGAGAGGCTGTTAGTTGGGGAATTAGAGAGCCAGAGCAAGGAATATGACCTTTCTGGTGAAGCATCCTGTAAGCCCTGTATTTCATGGCCTCGAAATGGACGTATAACCCTGGAGTGGATTCAAGTTCTTATTTCAACCTTAAAGTGGTCTTCATGGAAAGACCCAAAGGAGTTCTATAACGTAATGCCTGTCACTGTAGCGAAAAAATTGATTAATGCTGCTTCGAAAATCATGAGAGGTGAAAAGAATTGTGTGAAAGTCCATGTTAGAGAGGACTCAGAAGTTATTATAGTTGGTGACATACATGGACAGTTCCATGACCTGATTGCTCTTTTTGAAGAAAATACTGGATTTCCATCTGATCGTCGATATTTCATCTTCAATGGTAATTATGTTGGTGGAGGTTCATGGGGTTTGGAAGTACTTCTAGTTTTGTTGGCTTGGAAGGTATGATGAAGATGCTATATTTATATTTGGTTTACTTTATTAATGGTCATTCTAAATTTGTCTTTGATTTGGCACACAAGAGTGAAAGGAAACATTAGAAAATTAAATATAACTTCATGTTATACATGTCTTTGTGCGTGCCTTTATGTGCAGACTGTTGTATGCTGGTGGATAGGTTGTTTTTTGTCTTGTTAGGCAAGCTACATGCTAACTTAGCATTCTGTTTTTTTTTTTTTTTTCCCCTTTTTTTTTGCCTTTTTGGTTGTGTTTGAATTTAAATTTAACTATAATTATATTTTTCTTTTTTCTTTTTCACTTTAGTTAAATTTCTGAATTACAGGTCCTGATTCCTCATAGGGTATTTTTACTCCGTGGAAATCATGAATCAAAAGATTGCACATTGACAAATGGTTTCTGGTCAGAGATATGCACCAAATTTGGCTTAAAGGAGTGCAAAAGTGTCTATGATAAATGCTTGGAGAGTTTCAAAGCATTTCCATTGGCCTCAGTCATAGCTAGTAGCATTTACACAACACATGGGGGACTATTTCGTAGTGAAGGCAGTGGCAGTGCAAAAAGTTCTCAAGGCGTAAAGAGAAGAAAGTTGAATACTTTATGTTTGGGTTCTTTAAAGGAGCTAGCTAAAGTTAATAGATTTCTTGAAGATGTGCCTGAAAATAGTTTATTGGCTGATGTTCTATGGTCTGACCCATCTTTGGAAACTGGGATCAGAGAAAACAAAGATAAAAGATCAGGTCTACTTTGGGGTCCTGATTATACTGAGGAGTTCTTAAGTGAAAACAATTTAAAGGTAACAGACTAAAAGTCTTTAAATTGAGTGAACGTTTATTATTAGTTACTCAAATTTACCACAAACTTGCCTCAGCTTTTTTTATATATTCTATATCAGTTATATTTATGTCTACCTAACAGATAACTCACATAATATCTCATCGTGTTCTACTACCATATCTCACTATTGCATGTTTCTTTTGTTCTTATTTGAAGTAGAAGCATCCTTCATGAGTTTTGATTTTTCTTTTGGTTCCTCAGTTATTTTGTTCTTTGGTGCTCTAAAATCTATTTTTCTCAAAATTTAAGGCCAAAGCTATTATTTTTTCCTTCTTTTTTTTTTTTATTCTGAGAAAAACAAAACAATGTGAAAGCTACAAGTTTAAGAAATGACATATTTAGGTATTCAAAATGCAATATTTGTTTGGTAGGAAGTTCTCTTTTTCTCTCTCCCTCCCTCCCTATCTATTTTGACTGTTATTAACATTAAGAACTGCTATTCTAAGATGAGCTATTGTCTGTTGCTGTTGCAGTTGATTATAAGATCACATGAGGGTCCTGATGCAAGGACTGGTCAGGAAGATTCTAGAAATTTATTGAATGGGTACAGCAAAGACCATGATGTAGCATCAGGGCAACTATATACTTTGTTCACTGCTCCAAGTTACCAACAGGTTCAATATTTTCTTGCTGTATCCTCTACTCTTCTAGTTTTACCTTGTAGTTTTAGTTCATCATATTCCTCTGTTATTTGTCTTGACAACATGGGGAGCTACAATGGGTTTGAATTTTTTTTATCAATCTCAATTTTCTTGGAGTTCATATGTGGGAAAGGATAGTTTTGACAATGTGTCATTTGATTTTCCTATCATTTGGCTTTGTGTGCAAAGGTAAAGCTGTAATGTGGGGATATGATGACTTCTTGTTTCCTTGAACTTTGGATTGTTGATATGTATTTAATTTTTAAATAAGTGAAGGAATTTTTGTGCTTCCATTTCTTTTTTATCAAACATATAACATGATCAGAGTTTTTGACTTGACTTTGTTATAACTAATGGATTAAATGAATCTTTACCGGGCATGGCAGGGATCTGTCTCTGTTCTCTAAATGTACGCATTATGTTCAGATAATTTTTAAGGTGTATCCATGTCTATCAATTCTTATTTGTGATCAGATGACTTCTGTCCAATTGTTCAATATTTACCAAATGAACAAACAGATCTCCTGTCTGCAGTAGCTGGTCAATATCTGGTACATTGGACAGCTAATTTCCATTTTCCGTGTAGCTATAAATCCCATAATGTTCTGGGTCATTCATATATTTTAATTGGAGGATTTAAAGGACTAGAATTTGGTATGATGTTTAACTTCAGTTGGTTGGTTCTAGGAACCTCGTTCCTTGTAGCACTGGAGTTTAAACTAGCTAATATTAAGAACAAAAAACGTGATTTCCCTTGTAACTTCCAAATATGTGAGTATCATTTTATATCTTCAGGATAAACTAGATCTGATAAAGTTGATGCCTTTTCATATGCAGTTCGGTGGATTTGATAATGTAGGAGCATATGCAGTCATAAAGCCTCCTAAGTATGATTCTCCTATGTTCCTGCCACTCAAAGCTGCAAAAAGACCTGAGGTAGGAATCTATCGTTGTTTCCTATGTCTCTGATGTGGATGAATTTCAGCATGGTTAAGATATCTGGCTGTAGATTCAGGAGATTATATATAATCTTGTTAAAAGTTTTCTTTGTTATCTGATTCTATTTGTTTCATAGGTACCTTTTTATGATAGTTTTCTATACGAAGACTTTGATTCAGATGGAGCAGAAGACTTTGTATCGACGGATTCAGAGGAGGAACATGACTTGACATCAACGAATGCAATTGAAGGACGTGACATGACTTTGATGGTAAGTTGGTAATATTGCTTTCAAGAATTGTAAATCATTTGTTTCATATATTTAATTTTATTATAATATGTTAATGACTTAACAAAATATAATGCTTATTTATTGTATGATTCTGCCTTGAAAACAGAGTTAGGGTTGTTGCAGTGACTGAATAATTCATTATAATCTGACTAGATTGAGGTCCAGTTGTGATCATTGATCGAACCAATCACAGATTGAATGAATTTGATTGAAATATTGAGTGTGGTTCACTGTTTTTGTTTAATTAAATCTGTATCAAGGTTGGAGTGGTGAACCAATTGTGATTAAACTTGTCATGTACACCATAGGTTTGAGACTGCTGATTTCACTTAGCAAATTTATTAGTGACATAGAATGGTTTATGGCACCTTGTGTTTATTTTCTTGTTTCAAATATAGCTATTTTGAATTCATTATAAATTTTTACTATTATTTAGCAATCATTGGATTTGTATATGGTGAAAGTTATATTCTGTTTTACTTACCTATGTCACTTTAATAGTTATACAGCCAAAAGCTTAAAGCTAAATAGATATCGTTGATGAATATATCATGATAATCAAATCCTGAATTAATTGTGTTTTGGTGTATCTTCTTTATGACTTCTGGGTTGAGAATGTTTTTCTCGAAATCTAATATGCTGAAGTATTGAAGTATCTTTTGGATTCTCTCTCTCTCTCTCTCTCTTAATCTTGGAATAAATAGGAGACCAACATAGAACTCAACAAAAAGATGCTAGCTCAAGGAGAAAAAATCAAACAACTAGAGAGCCTTGTTGAAGAGTTACGAAAGGAGCAGGGTGATCGCTCAAAGAGGATGGAAGACATGTTAAGTACTCTTTTACAGCAATCATCTCGCAAAGGTCATGGCAAAGGTATTGCTTAGAACATATTTTTTCATTGACTATGGATATTTATCATATGCTCATGAAACACAACAGGTTCATGAATACAGGTTACAAGAATGTCAGAATTTAGAACTCAGAAGTCAAGTGCAGCTGCGTAACAGAAAGTACCAGGCAGCAAGCGATTTATGATGCGAGAGGAACTTCAAGGGGGCAATAGTTTTCAAAGTCAACAAATGTAAAAGATAATAATCAACAGGGGAGTATTGAAGAATTTAAAGGTGGATGATTAGTGTTGGAATATAATCTTGAAGTTTTGCTCAATTCTGTGCGTTATGAATCGATTGATGTAAAGTGAGGGGTAAAGTGCTACTCACGACTGCCAGTATAAAAGTAGCAGTGCATGCGATGGAGAAGAAGAAGCATTAGAAGATATGGAAGAGGTGAATCGGCAACATGGGATGAGATAAAGATTTTTGAAAAGTTGATGTTCACTTACGAGTCTTCTTTTGTTTGAGAGTGTAATATTGTTTAGGAGAGTTTATAGCCTAGGGATGAATGTTTGCTTCCTCAGAGATCTGGATTAGATACCAAGATTCAAGTTCAGAGACAATGAGTAACAATGGCAAGGAACAGATTGCAATGCAACTTACACAGGCAAGAAGAAAACCAAATTTGATATGCTTTTTGATAAATTATCTATCTGTTTCTTGTTTCAATTTTAATTAACATCTATAAGATTCTTTCTGTCAACTATGTTATTCATACCCCCTTCAAAAGAAATCTTATACTTTCTTTAGTTGATTTCCAAAGCAATAAAATAATAAAAAGATCATGTATGTTGTAATATCATATTTTTTGTTTTGGGTGTAACTAAGTAACATAATTTGCCTTATATTTCAAGCTATATAAATTGCATAGTAATTTCTGTCATCTTCCATGTTCTGTTGCTGTAACCTATGTTTGTCATATGATTTTATAAACTTTGGATCTTATTGTAGAGAATCAAGTGCAAACTTCATCCTTATCATAGATAGATACATGGAAAAATGAAATATTGTAACTTAAAATTTTCATTTCATAAGGTTTAAATACATTTCAGTACTGTAAAAGAAAAACTGAAGACCAAGTAAAACATGCTGTCACAGTCTTGAAGAAGTCAAGAAAAGGAAAAAACCCGAGTTTCGTGACTTAGATTTATTTCCTTCCTTTGCAAACCCCTTTTCTAAAATGTTGCCTCCTGAAAGTCTTCACAAACCAATTTTTGATGAATATCTTGTTGCATTCAATGATAACTCCAACTACTAACCCACTGCCGAATCCCATTGTAACTATAATCTTCCATACAAATCCATCTTGAGACCTCACATTTTGATCCTTTCCAACGGTAGTTGAAGGTGCTTTTGAGGAGGTCTTCGTATTACCACAAGGCTTTGAGAGAGGAGGTCCACACAAACCCACGTTTCCCTTGTACGAATCATTCTGAAATGTATCAAACTGCACCCCTTGTGGTATAGGTCCTATAAGATGGTTATGAGAGACATTGAAGAATTCCAGAAAGTTGAGCTGTTTTAGTTCTTGAGGAATATGTCCCGAAAATTTGTTATATGACAATTCCAATGATTCAAGATTCTTCAATTCCTTCAAGGATGATGGAATCTGACCCGAGAGATTGTTGTTTGAAAAATCGAGCAAATGCAGCCCCTTTAAGTTGCCAATGGATGTTGGAATCTCTCCTTCAAAGTTATTGTATGAAAAATCAATGGCTTTCAAGGCTTTTGAAATCTCTGAGTACATCCTTTCAATTCCTTTGTTATTTATTGTCAATGAATAGTGATAGTTGGCGTCATCATACATGCCAAAGGAGTAGGCAATGCGAACCATGCTTTCTTGCATATATGCTGCCTGCTGGTCAACATCAATGACTTTTAATGCTTTCCAGGATTGGAAGTACTCATATGGTAGCCTACCTTGAAAACTATTGTGGGAGAGATCAATGACATGAATGTTGGGAAACTCAAATCCAAACGCAGGATCTCCTATTTCACCATGAAATTTGTTCGAGCTTAGACTGAGAACTCTTAACTCTGGAAGATTTCCTAACCAAGATGGGAAAATCTCGTACATATGGTTGTTCTCAAAATCAAGAAACTCGAGCATTTTACAATTGGCCAATGATCTTGCCACTTGCCCGTGTAATTGATTATGACCAATATCAATCGACTTCAACTGGCATTCATCTGTAAATGTTTGAGGAATGTGGCCATGAAAGGAGTTGTTTCTGAGATTCAAAACAACCAAAGAATCGCTTAAGTTGCCTAAACATTGAGGAAGAACTCCACTCAGATTGTTATTAGATAGATCAAGGACTTGAAGCGAACTTTGACTACATATCAACGGTGAAATTTCGCCAACGAATTTGTTGTTGGAGGCCAAATAAAAAAGAGTATACATAGATTTTGCTGGAATTGGGAGAGATCCTTCGAGCATGTTAAACCTTAGGTCTAACGTGCGTAGGTGTTCCCATGGAAGAACAACTGAATGCCGATCAAAGCCTGTTAAGGAATTAAAAGAAAGGTTGAGATAGTCGAGAGTGTTTACACTTGTATTCCACAACCATTGAGGTATTTGACCACTGATATGGTTGTGAGACAGGTCTAGCCACTCCAAACTTTCTTGGTTTTTTAGGAAATCTGGGAACTTATCTAAGTTGCATGAAGCCAATCCCAGCAATTCAAGAGAAGCATTACTACTGATATTCGAAGTGAGTACTGTTAAATTGTTATATGATAACAGTAATCTCTTCAACTTTTTTAGCATTAAAAACATTTCTAGCTCCATTGGACCACTCAAGTTATTGCCATAGAAGCCGAGATATTCAATATTCTTGAGTTTAGAGATTGAGCTTGGAATAAGGCCGTCCAACTTATTGGAAGAAAGGTCCAATGTTTGCAACTGGGTGAGTTTGAATAGTTCAGATGGAATTTCACCATACAAATTGATTGCTTTAAGCTCTAAGACAGTGAGTTTGGTAAGCTTTCCAACCACAGGCAAGGAAGAAAGAGTTCGGGCAGTGAAGTTGTTGTTTGAAAGGTCTAAATACTTGAGCTGGGTAAGGTTTTCAAGTGAAGATGGAATGAATCCCTGGAAATTACACAGGGAAATATCAAGTTGCTCTAAAGAATCAAGATTTCCAATTGAAAAAGGTACCTCACCAAAGAAACTTGTGTTTGAAACATCAATTACCTTAAGAGGACTGCAGAAATGAAATTCAGGAAGCTTACCTCTCAGATCCTTGTTCCAGGCTAGCTTAAGTCTTGTGAGATTTGGGAAATGGAAAATTCTTTCTGGGAATTCCCCCTGCAATGAACAAGATTCAAGACCAATAGATGTCAAAGAAGTCATATTTGACAAGGTTTGGAGGGCATTAATTGAATTCATTACGACAAAGCCGAGATCAAGTTCCTTTAGGTGAGTTAAGTTATGAACTAAACTTTTCAGATCAGGCTTACAGAGCTTCAATGGTGAACGAAATAGAGAAGCAACAGGAACAAAATAATAATAGTTAAACAAAACAAACAGTAAACAAAGAATGTAATACGCGCGATTTACCCTGGTTCACCCAATGTAGGCTACGTCCAGCTGAGTCAATATTATTGCAATATGCCTCACCTCTCTCGTTTACAATGAATTGTTCTCACGCCCATAACAAGAGAAAAGAATGTTTATATATACAAGGTTTAAGGGATTAAACCTAGTTTTACTAGAATTCCTATTCCTAAGCCCAACCCAAAAAGGAATTAATAACTTAAAGGAATCCTACAGCGGTTATACATGGAAAAGCCCAAAACCGCCTACGGGCTCGGGGGCGCTGCCCCCGCGACCCCCGCCCGCTCACCGGTCAGCGGGACCCCCGAGTGCGTCTCCGTTACCCATTAATGCTGAAGTAGTCGACAACTCCAACAAATGGATCTTCTAAAGGTGGCATATTCAGAGATAAAGAGACCAAGTTGGACAATTGAGATATTTCCGATGGGATTTGGCCAGAAAATACAGAATGTGAGAGATCAAGATATGTCAACTCTGTAAGGTGTCCAAAACCTGATGGGATTTCAGAGCTATTAAAATGATTATCAGACAGATCAAGTTTTTGAAGGTGGGAAAGGAGGAAAAGAGTGCTATTAGAGTTGAAAGAGCCAAAAAGACAACTGCTGTTGAGTTTTAGGCCAATTACATGACCAGTATTTTCATCACACTCGATGCCATCCCATGAACAACAATCACCATTTTCTCCTCCGAGCCTCCATGAAGACACTTTTGGATAAGCAGAAGATTCATCAGAAGCAGACCTGTCAATGATAAAGCTATCCTTGAACTGCAACAAGGCATAGCTTTCATCGTTGTGGCACAACCGCTGCACTAAAGAAGAAGAAGAATGGGTGACATGCAAATGAAAGAACGAGATAACAAAGAACAAGTAAATGAAAAACAAGACTAGATTGAAGAAGGATCTCATGATGAAGCTTCAAAATATTAGCCTTCGAAAAGCAAGTAAGAGTGAAGAGGAGAAGTGAAATTTAGCGTATCTCTTACAACAATATATTGAAGTTCCTTATCCGTGGGTTAACTTTTTTCCATTGTCGTTAGTGGAGTTCAATTTTTTCCTAGGAGAAATAATTTTTTTCCCCTGTAGCTAGTCAAATCCTACTATTTAATTTATATGTGGTGAAACGACTTACATATACCAAAGTTTGCTACAAGACAAAGTTGTACCTAAAAGATTTGAAAATAACAAACACTCTGCTTTTCGCCATATTGGATTAAGAATTTTCATCTATTAAAAGATAAAAATGATGAAAAGATTGAAATACTCAACGATGTCTATTTTTAATATACGTCAGTAAAGGTTAGTGTCACTGTTTATCACTAAACTTTATAGAAAAATATAAAATTTGATCAAAAAATCGATTGATGATGCAAAAAGATTGTACAGACGGACTTGAGATGAGAATAAGATTACTATATTATCTTTTAATAAACATAAATCCTTAATAAAATATGATGAAGAAGTATTTATTTAAATCTTTTGAATATTAATTTGTCTTTATACCAGACTTTGATAGATGGAAGTCGTTCGCCTTTATATGTAGTGGTCAAGTCCATGGTGGAGACATTAAAAAATTCATTTTTTTGGTTTGAATATGCCTGGTTAATGATATGCTCTCTTTTTAGTCAAATCCAATATTATCAAATTGGCCGACAAATTAAAGATCACTGTTTATTTTCTCAGTCAATTGTATCAAATGTCACTGTTTATTTTCTTAGTCAATTGTATCAAATGTCTACATTTTGGCCTCCTCATTCTTCAAGGGTGATAGAAACTTTAAGATGTCAAAATAAATAAGATTAGGGATGACAATTTGGACAATTTAGTTCCTAAATTGACGGATCTTGGACAAAGATTTGTAAATTAGAATATGGGGTATACAATAATTGTGAACATTTCTTTTCCAAGTTAACGTATGTATGGAAGAAAAGTATAGGCATACTTGGTCCAATCCAATTTTTTTCCATGAACTAGTTCTACTTGTTTTCTTGTAGTTAGTTAAATTCAACATTTTCTACGGAGCAATAAGATCAAGGATGACAATTTTGAGCAAAACTTGACTTAGGGGTGTGTATGGGTTGATAATTTGGTTCAGGTTTTTTTTTTATTGAATCTGAGTTCTTCATTGGATTCCAAAAAGGGAGAAGAAAAGTTTTGCCTCTTCTTAGATTCAGTCTATTCTAGAATAATAATTGAGATTTTCAGTATCAATTTATATACTTAATTTTTTCTTTTATTTGCACAAACGATGTATATTAAATTTATAGGATAATTCTCTAATAAAAACGTCTTGATATTAGTTTCATTAAAATCATGCTTATATAACATCATATTTGAGATATTAAATCTCATTTTATTCCAATAAAAAATAATAATAATAATAATAATAATAATAATGAATTCAAGGACAAGGATTTCAAGATAAAAAGGTATATGAAATGGTGGTAAAATTGGGATATATGTAAAGGATTGGTTACTTTTAGCTTGTGCAGCTTTTTGACTTTCTGTTTGCCAAGGCCTGGTTTTTGTTATGGGCTTTGATTGTGAAGGATTGTTACTTGGAAGAGTAAACGAAATTTTCCCACCTAAGGTTATCCTTAATGGCACTTTCTCACCCAAAAAGTTTCAAAATACCATTTTTCCACCCAAAATTTATATTTTGTTACTACTCAAAGCCAATTCTGACCGACTGCAGCATCAAAAATTCTCTTCATTACCACCATTTAAACCTCTGGTCTCCTCTATATAAAACCTCTCTTACTCCGATACTTAATTTCTTTGTTTTAGCTAATTTTCAACTGATTCCAATGACAAATATTCAATTGGCCACCACCATTCGATCACCAGCCTCCACTCTATAAAACCCCTCTCACCCTATCTCTTAGTAGCTCGTCGAACCTCAGTTGAGAAAATGAAGTGTATTTTGGATATGAACAGAATATAAACTTTAGACAAGAAAGTGTTATTTTGAAACTTTTTTTATAGGAAAATGTCATTAAGGCAAACCTCAGTAAGGCAAACCTTGGGTGGGTACTTGAAATATTTAGAGTCATAAATACCTAATACCACTAAAGAATCAAGGTTTCCAATTGAATGGAGAAATTTATTAAATGGGTACGGAAAAGATCATGAGGTAGCATTAGAGCAACTATACACTAACCGCTTCAACTTACCCACAGGTTCAAATTTTTTTTGCTGTATCCTGCACTCTTCTAGATTTACCTTGTAGTTTTAGTTCATCATAATCCTATGTGATTTGTCTTGACAACGTGGGGAGCTACAATAAGTGAAGGAATGTTGTGCTTCCATTTTTCTTTTGTTATCAACATATAACATGATCAGAGTTTTTTACTTGACTTTGTTATAACTAATGGATTAAATGAATCTTTACCTGCATGGCAGCGATCTGTCTCTGTTCTCTAAATGTACACATTGTGGTCAAATAATTTTTAAGGTGTGTCCATGTATATCAATTCTTATTTGTGATCAGATGACTTTTGTATAATTATTCAACATTTACCAAATGAACGAACAGATCTTCTGTCTGTAGTAGCTGTCAATATCTGACACATTGGACAACTAATCTCCATTTTCAGTGTAGCTATAAAAACCATAATGTTCTGGGTCATTCATATATTTTAATTGGAGGATGTAAAGGACTAGAATTTGATATGATATTTAACTTCAGTTGGTTGGTTCTAGGAACCTCATTCATTGTAGCACAGGAGTTTAAACTAGCTAATATTAAGAACAAAAAACGTGTTTTCCCTTGTAACTTCCAAATATGTAAGTATCATTTTAAATCTTTAGAAGAAACTATATTTGATACAGTTGATTCCTTTTCATATGCAGTTTGGCGGATTTGATAATGTAGGAGCATATGCAGTCATAAAGCCTCCTAAGTTTGATTCTCCTATGTTCCTGCCGCTCAAAGCTGCAAAAAGACCCGAGGTAGGAATCTATCATTATTTCCTTTGTCCCTGATGTGGATGAATTTCAGCATGGTCAAGCTATCTGGCTGTAGATTCAAGAGATTATTTATAATCTTGTTAAAAGTTTCCTTTATTATCTGATTCTATTTGTTTCGTAGGTACCTCCTTATGATAGTTTTCTATACGAAGACTTTGATTCAGATGGAGCAGAAGACTTTGTATCGAAGGATTCAGAGGAAGAACATGACTTGACATTGACTGATGCAATTGAAGGACGAGACATGACTTTGAATGAATTCTGGGTTGAGAATGTTTTTCTTGAAATTTAATATGCTGAAGTTTTGAAGTATCTTCTGGATTTTCTCTCTCTCTTTCTCTTAATCTTGGAATAAATAGGAGACCAACATAGAACTGAACAAAAAGATGCTAGCTCAAGGAGAAAAAATTAAACAACTAGAGAGCCTTGTTGAAGAGTTACGAAAATAGCAGGGTGATCGCTCAAAGAGGATGGAAGACATGTTAAGTACTCTTTTACAGCAATCATCTCGCAAAGGTCGTGGCAAAGGTACTGCTTAGAATATATTTTTGAAAAGTTGATGTTCACTTGCAAGTCTTCTTTTGTTTGAGAGTGTAATATTGTTTAGGAGAGTTTAGCCTAGGAGTGAATGTATTGTATGCATAACAGGAGCCGAAAGCATTTTGACAATGCTCTAACTGGGAAGTGTAATGGCTAATGGCTATAGGATATACTGGTAGGGGAAAAGCTTTATGTTCTTGTAAGATGGTTATAAGAAATGTCGAAGACTTCCAGCAAGTTGAGCTGTGTGAGCTCCTTGTGGTATACGTGATTCGGCCAGACGGTCTACGTCCAGGGGTGATAATGACAGTTTCACTACATGAAGAAGAAATTTTACAACACACTCTCATGCTTCCCTTAATAGCCAATTATTACGAAATCTCAAGCAAAATTCGGTCAAGAATTACCATGTATAAGTCTCTCAAGATGATTAAAATATAGAAGATACAAGGCTTATGTACAAATAAAAAGGACAAATGATAGATTCGCTCTAAGTTTGATCCAATATATAATATATTTTAATATTGTGTCTAGTATTTTGTTTTCAAAAGGAAATTTGAAAATGAAAAGTTGGAGTTTGCTTAAGTGATCTCATACACCAATTTAATTCTTTATTAAGAAATTTACCCTTTTTTTGTCTTTTAATATGTTTGAATAAGACTTAAATATAACTGAGTGATTTTAATATTGACATCATTATTTTAGGAGATAATTATTTTTTTTTAGAGGATTAATTCAAAAGTTAATATATGGTTGAATAATTCAAAACAAAAGCCTACAAGTATACAAAATCGGTGTGCAGAACCCTTCCTCAACTCCCCTATTTTTGTTCTCTGTTTCTAGCAACACTGTCTCCCTCTTTTCTCTGTGAATTTGTGAGCCATGAAATCAAAGTAGCGTTATAAATGGCCAACATGTTGTACTTTTCCTGAAATCCTTATCATGATGCTCTTTAAAAATTCAACATTCTCATAAATATTGTGTAGATGGAAGATTTGAATATTGTAACTAAAATTTTTATTTAATTAGGCACAAACAAAAATTTAAATTGCATTTAATTAGAAAGAAAAACATGGGAAGAACTCAACACCACAGTAAAACGTGCAACCACAATCTTGAGAAAGCAAACAGACAAGAGACATAACAGAATTCCCAAATTTTGTGACTTCAATTCTATTTACCTTTACTGCTAATCCTTTTTCTAAAATGGTTGCCTCCTGAAAGTCTTCACAAACCAATTTTTGATGAATATCTTGTTGCATTCAATGATAAATCCAACTACTAACCCACTGCCGAACCCCATTGCAACTATAATCTTCCATACAAATCCATCTTGAGACCTCACATTTTGATCCTTTCCAAAGGTAGTTGAAGGTGCTTTTGAGGAGGTCTTTGTATTA